ACTTCCCATGATCCTTTAGTGACCTATAAAGAAAACCTGCTATAGACATAAATGGTTAATGGAATAGTGTCACTTGTTCTGTAGTTCGCATGGAAGGGTGAAACTCAGTTACGATACGATGTCAATTTCTATGTCCACAGTGAACATATATATATATATATATATATATATATATATATATATATATATATGTGTGTGTGTGTGTGTGTGTGTGTGTGTGTGTATTACATGAATCATTCATACAAAAACAGATATAGAAGTTAATGATATAAATGGCGAGAATATATCTTCGCAAACAAATTTAATAAAGTACATTAACCCCGAATCTGTAGATGAAGGTTATGATCCCTGTTTATAAATTCCAGTTACATGAGGTCTTTTTTTTTTTGTAAACAGGGATCATAACATTCGTCTACAGGTTCGGGGTTAATGTACTTTATTAAATTTGTTTAATAAATTAGTTCCAGTTACCACAGAATTATGTGCATTGACAAAGAATGAAATTATATTGAAATGTAAATATTTATTATAAAAAAATAAATTCTTATTTTTCCATAATAAGGCTGTATTGATTTACCTACTTAACTCCTCACGCACGCACACACACACACACACACACACACATACATACATACATACATACATATATATATATATATATATATATACTAGCAGCATGACCCGGCGTTGCCCGCGCTTGATTCAAAAATCGTACGACTCATACAGCAATCGCTATCACTTGACTTAAAATATTTTTGCCCTTCCTTGCCTTTAAAGGAGTGCTCTTTGCCGTGCTGATGTTGCTACATGCCTTACTTCTTGCCTATCTCACACTGTGAATTTTTTCTAAGCTCTATACTAAACATTAAATCTGTTACGAAAAAAGAACTAAACAAAATGAACACAAAACGATCAGCTTTAAAAAGGGACTCGTAACTGGAAAAACTGAATGAAAAAAAGAATGTTAACAACAAATACTTTTTCACACCCAACCCAGTTCTGCGGAATCAGAATCAACGTTGAGTTTAAGCAAGCGAATGAGCCAATTGGAGCAAAGTGCCATGCAGATTTAAATTTTTCCCACTTGTGACGAATGCAGCTATCGATTTTTTTTGCATGCTAGCATGCTAGTTAACATTCGTGTCAGTCAGCTGTTGGCTCTCACGCTGGCCAATAGAATCTTCCTTCCTCTCAGTCTGGCCAGTAGAAAATGTCCACAAACTACATGAAAACTGTCGTAGAAGCATGAAAAAATCGATTATTTCCACTATCGATGGGAGTTGTGAAATGCAAAGTCGGTCTTGGCCTTCCCGCTAACTTGGGGCATGTGCATGTAAATTTTGGTGCAAATCCGTCGAAAATTGCGGCCGTGCATTCATTACACACACATCCAGCCTTTTATAGAGATATATATGATAAAATATAGGTTTAAGTTATGCTATATTTATGAGTTAAAGGGGTCAATGGCAAGGACAGAGCGTATGTAAATATACATATAAAGGAATACCTCCAGAGGCAACAGTATGTTTCATGCTAATCGTAATAATTAGGACATGACGTTTGCGTTTAACATGGGAGAGACTGTCGCCTAAGGATGTTGATTTAAATGTCCATTTCTCTCCCTCTCTCTGTATATACATATATATATATATATATATATATATATATATATGGCGTAAGAGGAAGGCTGCCTGGAGACATCGTAATAATATTTCTGCTGCAAATAAATAATGCCATACCTAATGGTCAGTGATGACACTTTTAATGGCACATCTTCTTTGAATTCAGCTAAGGATGTCCTCTGATCTGCTGTTTTTATAATATGTCGATCTTACACAAGTATCTTTACTACTTAGTCGCCCAGAAATCTGGCATAAGGATGTAGGAGTATCCATTTGAACACGGCCGCTAAAACTGAAGCACCCCCCGACGCGTCACATCCAACATTCACAGGAGTTCTCTGACCATACAGCCTCTCCAGAACCAACAGTATAGCCTAGTTATAATTGTAGAAAAAAGTAAATGTATTCGTCTCCGTGACATGATACTTGCTAGCATTTGACTCCTTCATCCCATTGAATCTTATCAAAATCTAAATCGCAGGCACAGACGGTGCACTGGTATGAGTGTTGCTATATTTGAGAATAGCCAAGGACTTGTAATTCCATCAAAATATGTAATACTCCATTTTATGCACATAATTTAACCAGGAAATATCGGGGCGTTATATTTTTATTTTCCGTCAGTGAACTTACACACACACAAATCTCGCCAGAATCTATCGTGTACACTCATAAGTCTACTATTTGTCTATGTATCAAATATTTCTGCTACATCTGGGCTGACGCTTCTGCTCTGTATCTAGAGATTTTTGGCAAAGTCCTAAGAAGAATTAGCAATGTTATCGGTCCGAACCTGGCATCTCAGCTTCAGTCACGTTTTCACAACTGTAACATAGCTTTTCTTTGTCTTTTACATAAATATTTTCACGGGAATTGTT